AGCAGCTGGTGGATTCAAATTGCTGACGTTTTGGTTAGCAGCTGAGCTCTTAACCACCACCAGGGCTAAATCATAGATAATAATATTAATAAAACAAAACAAAAAAACAGTTGCCATGAAGTTGACTCCAACTCATGGTGACCCCATCCATGTGTGTCAGAGTAGAACTGTGCTCCATAGGGTTTTTAATGGCTGATTTTTGTGGAAGTAGCTCACCAGGCCTTTCTTCTGAGGTGAGGCACCTCTGGAGAACTCCAATCTCCAACTTTTCAGTTCGCACCTGGGCACATAAATGGTTTGTACCACCCAGGGACTCCATAGTATTAATAGCTGTCTAATAATCATAATAATTTTCCTTTTACATGTGAGGAAACTGAGACCCAGAGTGGCCACATGATTTTCTTGTGAGAACCAGCCTGTAGGTCTCTTAACTTCTACTGCAGGCCCAGCAAGCCCTGTCTTGAGGTAGAAATGAGCTTGACCACTTTGAAAGGCAGCATGAAGCCTTTTGTGGTTATTCCAGGATCGTGCAGTCTGTTTGAAGCCAGAACACCTGTGTCTACTCCCCCTTCCTGCCACACGTCCTGTTGCATGAGTGTTCCCAGTCTACAGACTGACTACAGACCCTGTCCACTAGGAGCTGACCTATGCCAGCATTTGTCCTAGGAGCCCTGGTGGTGAAGTGGTTATGAGCTCAGGCTGCTATTCAAAAGTCTGGCAGTTTGAATCCACCAGACGTTCCTTGGAAATGCTATGGGGCAGGTCTACTCTGTCCTATAGGGTCGCTATGAGTCGGAATCGACTTGATGGCACACAACAAAAACAGCACATTCAAGTTTTGACCTCTGGATACAGCTACATTTCACCCCACTGTTGTAGGTCCTTGGGGGATGCAATGAGTCGGAGCCAACTCGACGGCACCTGACAACAACTAACCTAAAGGTTGGCAGTTCGAACCCAGCCAGTGGCACCACAGAACAATGGTGTCACGAGGGTTGGTGTCACACTCCCCACCCCCGTGGACCTTCTCCTGTATCAGACCATACAGAACCCTTAGTAATGTTTATTATCAATTTTAATCATAGAATAATATGTGATAAATATAGCTGTAAATTGCTGAAATGTAATATTTATTAGATTATATGCATACTAACAACAAAATTGTTTTAACTTTCTACGTTGAATTATAATATTATTAGTTACAACATTATTAGTAACTGAGCCTTTTTAAATTTTTCTCCTTTTTCTTTAATGACTACTTTATTATCAAAAAGTTATTGATAGAGGTTCACAAATACTAATTACCACAATAGTGTAGCTAAAATGCCAGAAAATTTGACAAAATCAGAGACTATAAAAACAAGAGCCCCAGCGAAAACATCAGCGTGTGCTTATAGCACCTACAGACGAAATCACGGAATTCAAAGAGTCATTGTAATTGGGTAATAATGACAGCTCTGACCAGACCACCTATTGCCGTTGAGTCATTTCCGACTCTTAGCAACCCTATAGGACAGTAAAACTGCCCAGTAGGGTTTCCAAGGCTATAAATTTTTATGGAACCAGACTGCCACATCTTTCTCTCAAGGAGCGGCTGGTGGGTTTGAACCACTGATCGTTTGGTTAGCAGCCAAATACTTTAACTACTGAGCCACTAAGGCTCCTTGGAGCATGTTAGAAGGTTCAAAAAGTAAATTAGCATAGAGTTTTAGCCTTGTTGGTATATATTGATGTATATAATCTGGGCTTATGAAAATATGTTTTTGTTGTTAGAACTAACTACAAGGACATTTTCATAAAAAATAATAAATTTCTGCTGAAACATTGCACAGAAAATTTTATAGACAGTCATCTTGGCGTCACCCCCTCTGACAGTGTTACTCGGTGCAGTCCACACCCCCTGCACCCCCCTAACGACACCACTGCCACAGAAGAAAGGCCTGGAGATCTGCTTTTGTAAAGATTACAGCAAAGAAAACCCTATGGAACACAGATCTACTCTGTAACACATGGGTTGCCGTGAGTTGGAATTAACTCAAAAGCAATGGGTTTGCTGTTCCCAGTAGCTGGCTGCTTAAACTGCTACAACTGGACAGACATCACCCGCCATAGTTCATCCATCCCGTCAGCAGCTGCTTTGACATGAGTGAGAGGAGCTCTGCAGCTGCAGGGCCAGGAGCCAGAATTGCAGAGGACTCGAGGTCTCCCCTCCCTGAACCAAAACGGAGCCCGATTTGGGACAAATTCTTTCCTTCCTTCCTTCTTTGTCTTTTCATTTTCTTCGTGTTCATTGGTTGGCAGGAAGGGAGGTGCTAGAGGTTTTGTAAACTCACGAAGAGGAAGGCAACATAACTGAGTGCTGGATTTTACAAATGTAAGTGCACATCTGAATCACTCAGTAAAAAAACCAAAACAACAAAACCCATTGCCTTCGTGTTGGTTCTGACTCATAGCAACCCTAAAGGACAAAGGAGAACTGCCCCATAGTGTTTACAAGGAGCAGCCGGTGGATTTGAACTGCCGACCTTTTCGTTAGCAGCCGTAGCTCTTAACCACTATGTCGCTCAGAGTAGTGGTTAAAAAATGGGGATTTCTAAGCTCCCGTCCCAGAGATTCTGGGACTTCAGCCTGAGGCCCAGGAATCTGAATTTTTATCCAGCAGCCCTACTGGTTCTGAGGTCAGTGATCTCAGGATCTTCTGTCAGGAAGCTTCACTGGAGCCATTAAGAGCCTGAATACAGGCTGTGGGAACTTGAGCCTAGTCTTCACCACTGGCCAGCTGTGGAATGGTGAACAAATTACCTAGCCTTCTGAGTCTCAGTTTGCTCACCTGTAAAATGGGGATAAATAATGCCACCTACTTCACAGAGTTGTGAGGATTAAACAAAGTAATACATGGAAAGCACTTAGAACTGTGCCTGGAACATAAGAGCTGGATAATAATGTAGTGTAAGTATTAATAGTAAGATTAATTCTAGGGATGTTCTATTTATCCCCCTTATCATGGCCATGAGTAGCCCTGGTGGTGCAGTGGTTAAGCTCTCAGCTGCTAACTGAAAAGTTGATAGTTCAAACCCACCAGCTGCTTCATGGGAGAAAGATGTGGCAGTTTGCTTCCGTAAAGATTTACAGCCTTGGAAACCCTATAGGGCAGTTCTTCTCTGTCCTGTAGGGTCGCTATAAGTTGGAATCAACTCGATGGCAACAGATTTGTTTTTTTTGTTTTGTTTTGTTTTATCATGGGCATATTAAGGGTTTGTATCTCCAGGACCTACATATGCGTGCAAAAGCTAGACAACTAAAAAAGAAGACAGAAGAAGAATTGATGCATTTGAATTGTAGTGTTGGCAAAGAATATTGAATATACATACCATGGACTGCCAGAAGAATGAACAGATCAGTTTTAGAAGAAATACAACCAGAACGCTACTTTGAAATGAGGATGGAGAGTCTTCATCCTGCTCACTTTGAACATGTCGTCAATCGCTAGAAAGGGACATCGTGTTTGGTAAAGCAGAAGGTCAATGAAAATGAG